GGACCTCTGGAAGAGCAGTCAGTGCTCTTAACCGTTGAGCCATCTCTCTAGCCCATGAGCCATCTTTCCCCCTGCTCCTTTTCTTCTCTCATTTCCTACCATATTCTTTGCCTCCTGTCTTCTCACACCCCTTCTCCTCCACAAAACAGCAATCCCTTTTCAGAGATCCTCAAGGTTCAGTCTAAGTGCCCCAGGTGTGTGTGAGCTTCTGCTGTCAGAGCCTTTGTGCTGTTTCCTCTGCCTGGAACACTTTTCCTCTAGAGAGAGGAGTAAATAGGGCCCCATTTACCACCTGCTCCAGCCATGGCTTGCTTTCTTGCCTGATGTAAAGGAACACAACCCCTCCTGCCCCATCTTTCCCTCTGATTCAATTCCCTTTTTTCCCACTCCCAACTGTGTGATACATTTACCCACCACCTTCTCTCACCCAAGACAGAAGACTGTTGGTCTCTGGCCCATCTGTGTATTCTCTCAGCTGAATCCTTTGCAAGCCGCCTTGCCTAAAAAGTAGGAAGACATCTTGATGCTACCCTGTACCAGGACTCCACATGCAAAGTAAAAGCAGAAGTAAGAACCAGCCAGAATAGGCCCTCACTGCCCAGGACCCTAAAGATGCTTGGAACAAAATGTCACTCACTGGAAAAGAACAACAGCTTTGAGGAGAGCCACTACAGCAGTTACTCAACGAAAAGGTGGCTTCTAAAGGATGGAGAAGTGGGGAACCCCCCACCCCAACCCATGACACACACTGATTCTTTTGATAAATCTTTGTCAAGTGCCAACCGATCACCATGGCCAGTGCCAGATCCTATGCAGAAGGCAGATCTGATACCGTGGCTTCTTTTGGCCAGCTCTGCTGTAGACACTTTTGGCTCTTCAGCTCCTGGGCCTGCTTACAATCTTGCAGGTCCCCTCTTGCTGTGGATTGAATACTGTCACCATCTTTCCAGTCTGTGTGTTTAATCTTAACCTCCAATGAGACTGTGGGGATAGGAGGATTAGAGAGGGAAGTCAAGGCTCCATGAGGCAAACTGGTAGAATAGATGTCCTTGTTACAAAGGCTCCTGGGAGGCCATTCTTGCGCCATCACATGAAGATACAACCAGGAGGCCTTTCACAAACCATGTAGAAAACACCCACGAGCCACTGAAGCAGCTGGCACCTTGACCTTGTCAGCTCCAAAGCTGTGAGAAAATTAATTCCATCACCCAAGCCACCAGCATATAATGTTTTGCTATGGCATCTCTAGCTAACTGATACTCTTACCTCTGCCCCACCACTCAGTATCCAGTTGTCCTGGCTATTCTACAGGTTGAGGTGGGGGCCACCAAAAGGTGGCTTCTTACAAGTGTTAAGTGACAAGCAGTCTGTGATTTCCTACTTCAGCCACATACCTGCAGCCTGTAACCTGCACCATTCGAGCCAGAGTCCCGACAAGGGAAACTGAGCCTTCACGGCCTTCTGCTTTCTGTTCCCCAGTGGAGACACCTTCCTTAGCCTCCTGCCATAGTTCTCTGTTCTACTTCCTGTCCTTCAAGGTCAGAAAAGCAGCATGCCTTTTTTTTGTGGCCCATAGTTATGTCCATGTTCTTCCTAGTCCCAGCTAAGACTTGAAGAGTGGCTGGGTAGTGGTGGCGCATGCCTTCAATCCCAGCACTTGGGAGGCAGAGGCAGGCAGATTTCTGAGTTCGAGGCCAGCCTGGTCTGCAGAGTGAGTTCCAGGACAGCCAAGGCTACACAGAGAAACCCTGTCTCGAAAAACCAAAAAAAAAAAAAAAAGACTTGAAGAGTGGACAGAAGCTTCTCTCTCACATATCTGAAAATTGCCTGGGACAGATCACCCAGTGTGTTCATTAGTATTATGAACAATAGACAGGCCTAAAGAATCCTACCTTGCTATTTTGTTGCATGGCCCTGTTTCAAAGTCCAAAACTGACATTTTGATCTCCTTTGGTGAAAAAAGATACCTAAGGCATATTAGAATAAAATTTATATACTGGGAAAAGCAAAATAGAAAGGCACACTAAAACTACATATAATTGTGTATGTGTGTATATGTGTATCTCCTTTTGTAGATCTATACACATAAGCATATGCATATATATATGTGTGTGTATATATATATATATATATATATATATCCATTTTCAGCACAAGTAGGTATTGTCTTACACATTTCTCTGACTCTAACTTCATTTATCTAACATTACACCTTCATCCTTCCACATTTGACCCAAGAGCTCATCTTCCGTCTCTACCTCTATAACCCAAATTACAGATGCTTCTCATACAGCTGCTAGTCTGTCCCTTAAGAGGCTTCCCCTGCTTCCGCTTGTCCAGCTGTTCTTCAGAGATGAAGGGTCTCTGCAAACCAATCTGCTGATGGCAAGACACCTGTGTCCACTGGCCACTGCCATTCCCGGAACCAACCAGTGGCTGAGGTAGTGGCTCTCACCTGTGCCTTCCCCTGCTTGCCTGTGGAGATAAACAGGTGACTCAAAAAGGGGGGTGTGCTGGAAGTGCTTTCAGTGGAGAACAGTATCAAATGATAGCTTTGTTCTAATGTAGAGGCCTGGTCTAAAGTAGAAATAAAAATAAAGCAAAATGAGATGTATGCACTTTGCAAAAGGGCTGAACTGCAAGATTTATGGGATATGGAATTTAACTTGTTCGATTAAGTTCACGACAATGAAAGGTTAAGTCAGATACTGCTTATCAACCTGCTCCAGACATTAGAACACAGCAAAGGGGACAGTGGGGGCCCAGACATTGCAAATTCACTTTTAAATTCAGCTTTGGCGATTTTCAATAACAGAAATAAAAAGTTCAAAATGACCTGGAGAAATTTTTATTATAAACACAGCAATAATTTTAACCCAGGCAGGTAACACCCTACTACCTTAGAGAAACCCTATCCTGAGGATTCTAAATGGGCAGTGCCATCCGTGCTCTGGAAAAGCGGGGTGCCAGAAAAAGATGGCCCTGTGCAGTGGTCTAAGAGACAGGACTGCCTCCTCTACAGAAGAAAGCCTTCTTCTTGAGGGGGTCAAGTTCTACCCTCTGAAGGGAGGAAGGGTATTCATACCCTAAATCTCCAAGATTAAAGTCATACTCACATGTATACAGATGACCACCAAGATGCTTCAAGTCATTCTTAGTGTGACAGGTACTTGTTGGGGTTCACTGTGTGAAGGTGTGTCTCTGTATATTCAATTGTTAATTCTGTACCAGGAGAAAGCTGAATGCTGGCAGGATTCTATTATTACCTGGTTTTCTATTTTACAAATTTGTTCTTCCTCACCTGCCTAAGGCAATCTAGAATTGTATGACTGGCTGTAATAAAGAACCAACGGACAACAGCTGAGCAGGAAGTAGAGGGAGGATCTTCTGGGCAGACAGAGGGACTCTGGGAGAAATCAGAGGCAGAAGATTCAGCCTTATAAGTGCTGAATAGACAACCAGAGTGGACACAGGTAGATCTGGCCACATGGTGGAACACAGTGCAAGAATTAGTCAGGTTAGAGTTGACTGGAAACTCCTTAGCAAAAGGCCCAAGCTTTAAAATAATAAGTCTCTTGTGTCATTATTTATATCACCAGCAGATCCAAGGTGGTCCTGCTATAGGTACCATTGTTAACTTTCTTCCCAACCAACAGTGGGGCTCCATTCTCTACGTTGATCATTCAGGACGCTATTAAAATAGATTTGTATAGTAACCAAAGCTAATGGAATGCCCAAAAGCTAAAAATAAGTTACCATTAATCCCAGTCTTGGTACATGTCCATAAAAAGTCAAGAACATTCCTAGACCCATCTCTAGCTCAAATGACAGATATGCAGGATGTTTATAAACCAAAAGCAATGTCAAGTATCAAGACAAATCTTAGCTGATACCTTCTCAGGATAGAAAAGACCACCCTACTCAGATTGGGTAACTAAAAAAAAAAAAATTTTTTTTTTTTTGGTTTCTCGAGACAGGGTTTCTTTGTGTAGTCCTGGCTGTCCTGGAACTCACTCTGTAGACCAGGCTGGCCTCAAACTCAGAAATCCACCTGCCTCTGCCTCCCAAGTGCTGGGATTAAAGGTGTGCGCCACCACCACCTGGCCAAAAAATTTTTTCTCTAAAATAAAAAACTAGTTTTTTTTGTGTTCCCACAACCCCAGAAGCATCTTAATTGTCCATACCTACAGCCTGCCAACAGGTTGAGACTTAAACCCTCTTCACTGGCCTGGAGAGATGGCTCATCAGTCAAAAATGATTTCTGTCCTTGCAGAGGTCGGTTCAGTTCCCAGCATTTATGTGAGGAGGCTCAAGGCCACCTGTAATTCTCAGTGCAGTGACTATATGCCTTCTATTCTGTGAACTGTAGACCTCCCTACACGGACATAGTTTAAAAAGCAAAATTTATCATTTCCCTGTTTGTGTTCTGGGAATCAAGCCCGGCAAGCACGTTTACCCACTAAGCCTTCCTTCCACAGGTCCTTCACTAAATACAAAAGTCCTAGTTATAAACCCATCAGTAATTGCATCCTTTCTGTCAGTTTTTCCTTTGGCCATACTGGTATTCAGTAGTTACTCAGGAGGGTTTCTTCTCTTTCAATTCCACCCCTCTCACCCCAGAGGGAGCACTTCTATTCCTTAAGGGCCTCCAAAGCCAGTCCCTGAGCACAGCTGGTTCCCACTGCAACCACCTGTCTACAGTAATCTGTCCTGTCAGGAAGATGCTCTGCATTTTATATCCCAGTCCCTTGCCCATTCATTCCCCCAGGTCTTAGCAGTGACATCACATCCTAGAACTCTGGGACACCCCGCCTCAGCCTTCTTTACTGACACAGGCACCTTTCCCAAGTCCTGACCTTGACTGTTCAGCAATCTAACTCTCACAAGCCCTAAATGCATATAGGTTACTAGCCCCAGTCCTAACTGTACACTTCCAATACACGGAAGCCCAAGCCTTCCTTTTCCACACGGCCAGCCCTGAGTTCATGGGTTGACACGGATTTTAAAGGCAGACTGAATTAACCTGAGGTTTATTGCACAGCTGTTAGGGAGGTAACAGGAAGTTGGCAACAAGTTCTAGTCATTCCAGGCACTGGCAGATGGTCACAGGGACAGAACATGGCCATCTGAGGTGTTGGTGTCAAAACTTGGTATGTCTGAGCCAATGACTAAAGTAAAAAGCTGTTTCATGATGCTGAGGGGGTGGTGTCTCCAGTTTCACTTTGAGCATGGTCTTCTTGTCCGCTCCCTGGCCCTCTGGTGTCCACAATCATCTAGAAAATTGGGGGTGGGGGGAGAGAAGAACATGATGCTTTACATCTCCACCCATGTCACCACATCGCTTCTGGCACTGTTAGCTAAGTGGAAGCTGATAGCAGGTCAGAGCTAGACAGGCTCAGAGACCAGAGTCCCTGTTAGCCAAGTTTACTCTTCCGGTGGTGTGTGGGAACACACCAGCCTCCTACCAGACAGGCTTCTGCAGGCCTCTTGTCTGTAGCCATGGAAGGAGGATGTGATTGGGACTCATAGGTTATTTGCCAAAATTGAGCCAGAATAAAACCCCTCAGGGCAAAGGCTGGCTTCTATCATCTCCCTTCCAGAAGCCTCTGAGGACAGTGCCCAGCACTAGTAGAGGACATTCAGCGAACCTGGTATCAGCAAACCTGGTATCAGCAACCAAGAGACCAATAGGCTGTGAGAAGGAAGATTTGTTGGAAAGCATCAGGGTTTGGTAAGGACAGTAGACCTTCCAAACACGGGGAAAAGGCTTTCCGCATCCTCTCCCTGCAGTATCAATGACCAGGGCACCAGCAGCCCACAATCACTTTCGAATACAGGGGCAGAAGGGAAGCCACAGTGGGATGGGCAGCTTAGGAAATGGCCCAACTGGGACAAATGACCAGGAAACAGTGACCACATTCACAGCCTCTAACAGAGGTGGCTTCCCAACTCTCCAAGCTTCTCAAACAGAAGAGAGCTGCTAAATACTGCTGCCTGCAGGCATGAGCACTCTCACACACACGCCAAGGGATGGTGGTGATGTTGCTTCAGAGACCACAATTTGAGAACCATTACTTCAGTGGCCTCTTACTAAATAGAATGAACGAAAATGAACAAGGTTGGGGGTACTTCTGAGGACTCACTAGTCAGGAAGTCTGGGATAGGACTGCTCCCTAAAAAAGTGCCCACCACAGTTCAGAGAAGGCTAACTGCAACCCAACTGTCTGTACCCCAACTGCAGCCCTTCTCAAGCCAACAAGCACTGCAGATCCCAACGAAACCTAGGGGCCTGAAGCTTCCCAGGTGCTCCTGTGACCCCAAAGCAGCTCTTTACTTCACACTATGAAGATGTGAGGAAGTGAGGTGGCGGGGGCTGGGGGTTGGGGGGAAGAATGTCCCTGCTGGCCCAGGTGGGGAAGCAGCCTCTGCTTTTCCTTATGACTGTGGCCTTTGCTGGACCACTGCTGCTCTCTAGTGAGGCGTCTGGATTCATACCTTCAAGGGCCCTGTTCCAACTTCTTCTGGAAAGCCAAGAACTGGTGCGCACACGTGGCAGAGATCAACTGACAATCCTGCAGAGACAAGCCACACTCAGGACCTCATAGTCAACCAAGATTTCAACAGGAACCAAGATACAATTATTAGTTGGGGGTGGGTGGGATACAAGGTAGCTACAACAGCTTCTTCCTGGAACCCCTTTCCTCCTCCATGCAGGGCACTCAACTCAAGATCCCACCCTCAGCCCCACACTGCCATTCTTTTCCTTCTGACTGCACCCATCTTCCACAGGCGAAGGCTACCTGCATAATCTTGATGGGTTTCTTTCTTTCTTTCCTCACACTGATTACATTGTAACTTCTGATAAAGTTGGCTTTCCTGCTTTTAGTTTTGTTAAGAGCAATCTGGATGTGTGTGCAGGTTTGAATGAGAATGGGCCCCACCCATAGGCTCATGTATTTGAATACTTGGTCCCTAGTCTGTAGAACTGCTTGGGACGATTAGAAGTGTGGCCTTGTTAGAGGAGGTGTCATGGGGGTGGGGCAAGAGAGCTGAGGTTTCAAAAGCCCATGCCATTCCCAGTTAGTTCTCTGCCTGGTTGTAGTGAGATGTGAGCTCTCAGTTATTGCTTCAACATGGCCACGCCCGAAGGCATACTGGTCATGAACAGACTCACCCTCTGAAATTCTTAAGCCCCCAATAAACTCTTCATGGCCACTAGGCACACACATGATAGACATACATATGTACAGTCACATATACACACGAAATAAAAAAGTCAGATTGCATTTTGGTCTGCAAACCATGCATTTTAAAGAAAGCTCCAAAAGGCCAGACAATCGGCAGCACAGATGGCTAAGATGGTGGCTCATATACACATCAGGCCGCCAGGGACTACAGGGCTAGGAAGTGAGCTGCACATTCTGTACCAGGGAGCCCCTTCTCAACACACGCCTACGGACTATCACATGCTCTACCTCCTGCCCTCCCCAGTCCACTCAGTCCAGCCCACATTTCCTCCTGTTCTCTCTCCTCTGTTCCTATGTGAAAACTTGAAGAACCTGTCTAGAGACCTTTGGAAATCTGTGCTGATCCATCACCTCACAACATGCAAACACCCCAAGTTTCTGGAAACAGAACGCCAAGTTGCAAAGACCCAGCACTGACGAGCAGCTTCTAGGATGCACTATACTTCTATAAGGCTGCAGAGAAAGACACAAGTGTAGGAAAGCTCCAGGAGCTGGAGGAGTCAGGAACAGACACCCCGAACTCAGAACATGTCTTTCAGCATCCTTTCCCTGCGTTACCAATGACCTCAGCACACGCAGCCAAGATCACTTTCGGATGCAGGGGCCAAAAAGGACAAAAGGAACCCTAGGAAAGACAGAAGACGGATGCCAGGCCCAGATGAAAGCCACAGTGAACATCAACTGCACAGAACACCAACAATCTGCCAATAAGGTGAGTCAGTCCTGAAAATCTTTGTCTTGGCTTTGGTTTTCCAAGCCTGGAAATGGAGGTTCAAAATAGCTTAGACTGCTTATGGTGTATTCTGTGGACTAGCTAGAGAGCAGCTGGTCGCTTGATGGCAGCTCAAGGGAACAATGTCTAGGCTGAGGCCCTGCTTTCCAGGGCAGAGGCAAGGCACACATCTGGGTGTACTTCTGCCACTGGGGGAAAAATGGGTTCTGCTTTGATGCTGAGGGAGGGGTCCTGAGGAAGCCAGTGCAGATGCTCCAGACCACCCTAACTTTTTCTAATTGTCCAGCTATAGATGTTCCCTCTACTGCTAACAAGTCACTGCTACCTAACACAATGACAAAGATAAAGGCCAGAGTGAGATGGAGGCACATGCACGTGTCTCCAATGCCTATATCCACCCCTTGCCCTTACAACTCACCAACACTAGAACAGCCCCACACTCACCCCTAGTGAGTTATCTGGAGGAACAGGGCATGACCTAGGTCTCCCAGGGAGATGGAAGGATCCACACAGCACTCCCTACTCATTCTCCCCTCCCGTGTCACTAAAGCAGCAGAGAAAACTACGCACTTCAAAGGCCGGGGCTCCAGACTGGACAGAGCCATCCTTACATTCTCAAACACCAATCCCTTGTGCAGTGACTTACCTGCTATGGCCTCCTGAGCACCCGGCCAGTGGATCCACTTCTTCTCTAGAGAAGGGACCAGAGCTCTTGGGAGACAGGTCTGATGACCCACGGTGCTGGGTGCTCAAAGGCACATCAGGACACGGCGCTCTGGAGTGTACCGTCTCACCTGGCATTGCGTATGTAAGAGCAGTACAAACACATCAGTTACTGTGTGCTGTCAGGCCCTCATTCCTGCCTATTGTCACAGGGTGGAGAGAAAAACCTTTCCCAAGCGGCTACCTAAGGCCAGGATCAAAAGCAGGCCACAAGGGAAGAATTCAAGGAAGCAAATCTGCTCCCTCCTGGGGCTCTCTGTCAAGCTGTTTACTCAGTTTACAAGTGACAATGCCTTACAGGAAGTAACTCTCCCTTGACCGTTCATTTGTTCAGTCAGAACCCTGACTCTTGACTAACAGAAGACAGCAAGATGCACGCTAGCTAGAAGTCAAACAACGTAACATTTTCTACAAGTTCTCAAGTGTCCTGAGGAGGTGACAACTGGGTGTGGAGGCTGAGAAAGCTTCTGAAGGAAGCAGCCGGCGTCCCAGCTCCAAACCACTGCTTCACAGAAATGCCAGAATGACAGGAAGCAGGCGATGTGAGAAAGCACCAGGGTTTGGCAAGAATAAGTGTGGATCCTCCAAACACGGGGAAAGGCTTTCCGAATCCTCTCCCTGCAGTATCAATGACCAGGGCACCGGCAGCCCACAATCACTTTCGAATACAGGGACAAAGAGCAGAGAGTAAGATGAGAGGGAAGGCTACAGCCAAGAGATGAGCAAGGGTTAAACTGGAAACAGAAAGACAGACAGACAACAGCCAGATAGCCAGCAAAAGAAAGAAGCAACAGTTACTGCTGGGAGGAGGTGACCATTCTAACGAGCACTGGCCACTAGACCTGCAGTAGACCCAGCACGTGCTGTCATGTCTTAGATAAACACAACCTGCCCAGCTGGCAGAGCCAAAGGGTGACAGACCTCTTATGTCAGAGGCAGGAACTGGTAGTCCCGTTTTTCTGATGAGGAAACTAAGAAACAGACAAGGCCTGGAAGCTAGCAGAAAGCAGTGACTGAGATCTAGACAGTGCATATGACCCCCAAATCCTTCTCGTTCCTCTCCATTCTGTTGTCAACCCCCACCAAAGTAAAGCAGAGGGACACAGAAGGGACGGTGGGAACATTATGACATACAAGACACAGATCCCAAGTGGGTACAGCAAGAAGCAGGCAGAGCTCAAAGCACCCAGCCTCACCTTACACACTTCCAACTCTAACTGAAAAAACTGCACCCCAGATCCCAGGGCACAACCCTCACTCAGGAGCACCGTGGTCCATCAGTCCAGCAGGACGGAGACACCGCTCGTGGCCACTGTAGAGCCAAGCTATTATGTCTGCAAAAAAATAGCACCCAGTTACCTGGGAAGCACACTGAATGCCAGACACAGAAGCTGCCAGGCAGCCAACCACGTGGCATGGACCCAACCCCACCCATAAGGGACTCCCACTATGCAACATGGATCTGAGCTGTCCCCAGAATCTTGCCCTTGGGTACTTCTGGCTTCCACTGGGCTTCTCTCTGCACAGTGGTTTTGATGTGTTTATAAAAAGATAAAGAGGAAGAATATGTTCTGTGGAGGTGTGGAGAGGTATGGGGGACGGGGATGTCTCAGTGGGGCCATGCCGAGGCATCCCTTCCCCCTGAGTGACCACCCACACAACGGTATAGTAGAGATTTATTCAGGGCATGGGGAGGGGAGTTAAGAAGTTAGTAGAGACAGAGAGTAGAGAAGTAGAGGCTGGCCATGAGCATGTGGAGAGGGGGGAAGGGAAGGGGTGAGGTGAAAGGGAGAAGTAAGAGAGGGCAAGAGAGCCAAGAGAGAGAGGAGGGGGCAAGCAGCCCCTTTCATAGAGGGCCAGGCCTACCTGGCTGTTGCCAGGTAACTGTGGGGGTGGAGTTTAGACAGAATGCTAAGAGGCTTCATCTGCCTTTCTCAAGTGATCGGATTCCGCACCACCCCTCTGCTGGTGCCCATGGGAAGGCTATTTAGAGGCACCGGAGCTTCAAGTTGCTCCGGAATAGCAGCGCTTACCCAGGCATCCTCTCCCTGGACCGTGAACGCTCAACACGGACTTGAAGGGAGTAGGGGGCTCCGGCTGCTGCAGAAGCTGTCGACCCAAGGAGCTTCCATCGGTCTCCAGGAGGGCTGTGCAGTCTACAGCCTAGCAGGACAAGGGAAGAGGCTGCAGTGCAAGGCAGGGCAGGGGGACCCGGACGCTGCACCCGGGATCCTGGGAGCGTCCTCAGCTTAGACCCTGGTCAACGGATTCGCCTTGGTAGGATACTAAAAACATAGAACACAAGTCGTAAATAACGATCCAGTTTTTGTAGGCGACAGACACGGCTTTGGGGCTTCGGATACTGGAGCGGCGAAAAGCAAACTGCTGTAGACCAGCCGCCCACCCGCAGCCCTGTTTGCTTGATGGAGGGAACGGCGCTGCTCATGCACCCCGCTGCACTCACCTTGGCGCCCTGTATTGGGGAGACCAGCAGACAGCCCGGGAATATGCAGGATGTCTGTAGATTTGGGCGGATGGCATTGACCAGAGAGGAAGCACATCCACGCGACGGGAAACTTTGGTCTTCACCACGGGCGCCGGCGGAAGTACAAATGATAAAGCGCGCTGCAGCCTAGAGCAGCATCTCCGAGCGGCGGTCCCTCCAGCGCCCCCTGGAGGAGAGGAGACTAACAACTGTTTGAACTATTAAGTTAATTTGTAACAATGATTGGTTTAAGGGAGAAACTTTCCCTTGTTTGCCGATTTTTTTTTCTTATTTGTTCTGAAGTAGATCTCTCTTACTAGCTACTGATTCCATAGCTCCTGGCTCAGCGGTGCCACAAAGGAACAAATGATGACTTACTGGCATGCTTCTTTAAACACCACCACACTGGATCAGTAGTGGCTTGAGACTAACATGTGAAAGTGATGCGCCCAGAGGTGTGAGAAAAGAATGAATGCTTTGTTAACCCGCTACCTAAAAATCAAAAGGCAGATCGAACGATTCCCTTAACCAGAAAAGTCCTGATCCAAGTAACAGAGATGATAGACGGATGTCTGAGAAGGAGCTCACGTGTCTCCAAATCTTCACTCTCGCAAACTCTGCCTGGATCCTAGGTCAAATGTGGCTCTTGGCCCCTTGTACAGCAATTCTGCTCTTGGGGCTGAAGACGGAATTCCACTGAAAGAATCCAGAGGCTGACTACGTCAGGAGAAAGCAGAAATCCAGATTTGCCCTGTGCAACCTTGAAGGAGATGGGAGTCCTAGATTCCATACTTGAGAGATGTCCACATCTAGGAACTGTGTGTCTCTGTGATAGGAGGAACTGTGAGATGTTGTTATTGGGCTATGCTGACCCTCTGCCTCCCGAATGCTAGGAGTGCACCACCACTGCCGTGCCTAAGAGTGACTCTTTAGGATTTATTTATTTAATGTCTGAGTGCTCGCTCTATCTGTATGTACACTTGCTTGCCAAAAGAGGGCATCAGATCCCATATGTTTGCTGGGAATTGAGTTCAGGACCTCTGGAAGAGCAGTCAGTGTTCTTAACCTCTGAGCTATCTCTCCAGTCTCTAAGGGTGACTAAAACAGAAAAGATAGTCTGGGCTGGAGAGATGGCTCAGTAACTAAAAGCGATTGCAGAGGACCTGGGTTCAATTCCCAATACTCATAAAGAGCACCTAATGTTTGTGTCTATAACTCCAGTTTTAAGGGATATGATGCCCTCTACTGGGCATTGTGAACATGTGTGTAGATGTGGTACACAGTATTTCAGGCAAAACACCCATAGGCATAGCATTAAAAAAAAAATTTTAACGCAAAAGGTAGAATTAGTTCTAATGATGTATTTTTTATAAATTTAATACTGTAACAAAATAATGTGTCAGCACTGTCATGGTTAATATTGCCAACTTGACAGGATTCAGAATCACCTAGAAGACAATAGACTAGGCACACCTGTGAGGGACACCTAGATTAAGTTAGCCGCTGGGCATGTCTGTAAAGGAATGATCTAGATTACAATGAATGAGATGAGAAAGCCCACCTTAACTGGGTGTGGACAGCACCGTTCTGGGGTCTGGGGTCTTGAGCTGAACTAACAGAGGAGAGTTAGCTGAGCAGTAGCAATTGTTTTTCTTCATGTCCTGTGGAGAGCCGCATAGTGCTGCGCCCTTAAGATGGCGCTGGTCTCCACCTTCCGCCACCTGTTGGCGAGTGCTCTTAGGAGTAAACAAGTCCTTGCCACCTGCTGGTGAGGACTCTTAGGAGTAAACAACTCCTTATTTGTCTGTGGCTGGTGATCTGGCTTGTCTCCGTGTGAGTGTGTGTGTGTGTGTGTGTGTGTGTGTGTGTGTGTGTGTGTGTACCTATCTGCTGTTGCCATGTGGCAGACGGGGGTTGGCTATTCCTAGAGTACTTAAGCCTGGGAGACGCTTCCCCGGGGTTGTCAGTAAGAAGCTTATTCAAGGTCCTGAATAAACTGCTTGGAGAAGAGCTCGCTCGTTCGTTGCGTCTTCCTTGCTGGTCGAGGGTGGACGCGACAATGTCCCAGCTCTGAATGCAGCACAACCAGCCACCCCAACCAGAACCTCAACAAGAACTTCCCTCCCATGATGGACTGACTGTACCCTTAAACTGTGAGCCAGAATAGCTTCCTCCCAGATCAGCTGGCTTTGTCAGTGTATTTTACAGAGCAATGAGAAAGATAACTGATGTCATCATACTGTATTTTTTTTCTTTCTGGATACTGGAGGTTAAACCAGTACCAAATGCTTCACTCCTGCTAGGTGATTGCTTTGTTGCTAAGCCCAAACCCCGGCCCTCTTTTAAAATTTAATTTTGAGGGGCTGGAGAGATAGTTTCAGCAGTTAAGAGTACTGACTCCTCTTCCAGAGGACCCAGGTTCAATTCCCAGCACCCACATAGCAACTCACAACTGTCTGTAACTCCAGTTCCCAGGACTGGACACCCTCACACAAACATACATGCAGGAGTGATTGTGACCTCAGAGTAGCTGAGGATGTTGGAGGCCTGGGCCTCTTCCATGGAGGAGGAGGAGGAGTCAAGGCTGAGTCAAGACAGCGTGTTCCAAAGAGGGTCAAGGCAAGAAGCCAGCAGCTGGGTCATTGAGACCTGTGAGAGCTCCAGGCCCCATCCCTGAGCACAAATGACTGTCCTGCTGGGTGTTACGCTGTATCTGTCCGTCCTCCTCCTCTGCTTCTTTCTGCTCATCTGTTACTGCACCTATCTGAGGGAATAAGCTCAGGCTCCTGAGGTCAGGGGCTGAAACCTAACGGGAGCCTTAGCACAGCATCCAGGGCCACTCAGCTGTTTCTGAACTGCCCCAGGGACTACTAGCACATAAAGTTGTGCAGACTGGGTACTGGGCACATTGGCATCATAGTCTGTGACTGGGAAGCAGAGGTGTTGGGAATGCTTGATTAAGCAGAAGCCACAAACATGTATGACTAAAAAGGAGACACTTTTCCAAGAAGTCCTCCTCTGGTGCAGCAGAGCAACCCTATGTTACACCATCCAATGCTTAAACGGTAGGTCCTTCCAATAAAGCCTCCTGGGAATACCTTCTAATAGTGTACTTTCAGAGTTAACCTTTACTTCATCCTGACTTCACGAAGCAAGGTGGACTAGTAAGTCTGAGAGAGTCAGACTGTGCAGGGCTTTTGGAGATAAAGAAGAATGTCCATCAAGGATTCTTGAGAAAGGCAGTTCTTCCCTTGGATTCTGAGTTCAATGCTCAGTTACCTCCCAAGCCCAAGTGTGTCTGTTGCTGCTCTTCTTGCTGCACTGAGATGTCTGGTACAAGCCTCTTGGGGAAGGGAAGGTTTCTTTTGGCTCACAGTTTGAGGTTACAGTCCATCACAGTGGGGAATGGCAGAAATTATGAAGGCAGGATCACAGCGTGGTGGCAGGAATATGAAGCAGCTGGTTGTATTATATCTAAAATCAGGAGCAGAGAAAGATGATGGTATGCTGGTGCCTGTTAGCTCTTTCTCTCTTTTTGTTTTGTTTTTGCTTTTTCAAGACAGGGTTTCTCTGTATAGCCCTGGCTGTCCTGGAACTCACTCTGTAGACCAGGCTGGCTGGGATTTCAGAAATCCGCCTGCATCTGCCTCTCATGTGCTGGGATCAAAGGCGTAAGCCATTACTGCCTGGCTTTTTTTTTTTTTTAAGAATTATTTATTTTTTTATGTATACTGTAGCTGTCTGCAGACATGCCAGAAGAGAGCATTGGATCCTACTACAGATGGTTATGAGCCACCATGTGGTTGCTGGGAATTGAACTCAGGACCTCAGTGCTCTTAACCTCTGAGCCATCTCTCCAGCCCCCTGCTAGCTCTTTCTTATTCAGCCTTGGACCTGTGGGATGATGCTACCCACATTCAGAGTGGACGTTTCCACCTCAGTTCACCCAATCTAGAAACACCCTCTAAGTATTCTAGATCCTGTCAACTTGACAATCGAAATTAGCCTTCATACCATGGGTCCTCACTTCCACCCTTCTTATAGCTGCAGAAGAAGTCACCCCTCTGATACCCATCACGTAACTTGTCTTGATGGTTAAGCACACACATGTCACTGATGGGGCCCAGGGTTTGCCTGGACCCAGAATGCTCAACCATATCCAAGATCCTTTCTGGCCAACTATAGTGGTTTGAGTAGGTTTGGCCCTTCTGGACTCATGTATTTGAAAATGCTTGGCCCACAGGGAGTGACACTATTAAAAGGTGTGTCCCTGTTAGAATAGGTGTGGCCTTGTTGGAGGAAATGTGTCACTGTGGGGGTGGGCTTTGAGGACACCTAGTGCTCAAGTTCTGCCCAAGACAGAAGAGAGCCTTCTCCTGCAGAGGAACCTGTGGAGGATAATCTCCTTCTTGCTGCCTTTGGTTCAAGATGATGGTACATAGAACTCTTGGTTCCTCCAGCACCAAGTTAGCCTGCACACTCCCATGCTTCCCACTATGATGATAATGGACTGAACCTCTGACACTGTACACTCCAATTAAATGTTTGCCTGTGTAAGAGTTGCACTGGTCATGGTGTCTCTTCGCAGCAATAAAACTCTAACTAAAACACCAATCATGGGCTGTGTATGTGGGGTGTGTGTGTGTGTGTGTGTGTGCTGCCAAGAGAGGCCAGTGGAGTGTGTTGGGCTCTGATTGGCAGAGTGATGTCAGCTAAGAGACACACTTGCTTAGACAAGACACATGCTAAGACAAGAACCATAGAGGGCACATGATGCCTGGAGGGTATAAATAGAACTTATTTATACCTTATTTATACCTGAGTGTAGCTGGAGTTGCAGATGATTTATAAGCTGGATGGCTTATAAACAATAGAAATCTTTTTCTTGTGGTTCTGAAGCCTAGATGTTATGCTTTGAAATATGACCTCATATTTCATAAAAATGGCCTCAAAGACTAGGTGCTTATGACTTGGTAGCTAGATCCTAGTAGGAGGAGGAGAGGTAACTGGAGGCTTGCCCTCAGAGGGGGTATTGGAAACACAGACCTGTAACTTTAATTTTTTCAAAGTCTACTTTTAATGACAGTTCTT